ATATGAGGGACTTGAGCATCTTTGGATTTTAGTATCCTTAGGGGTTTCGGAACCTGTCCCCTTGGATTGGATAATGAGGGAAAACTGTAATTGGTTCTATTCATCACAGCTGGACCTTTCCTTATATGATGGATACTACATGTTCCATATATACTTGCAAAGTTAGCCAGCTATGAAGTTAGAGGGTACAGTAATCCATACAAGACCACCCTTACTTCTGACACCAGCTGTAAATTCAGGGATACCCAGGACTGCCCTTAGGGCCGATAATTTTTTTTTTTTTTTTGAGACAGAGTCTCACTCTGTCGTTCAGGCTAGAGTACAGTGGCGCGATCTTGGCTCACTGCAACCTCCACCTCCCAGGTTCAAGCGATTCTCAGCCTCCCAAGTAGCTGGGATTATAGGCATGTGCCACCATGCCTTGCTGATTTTTGTATTTTAATAGAGACAGGGTTTTACTATGTTGGCCAGGGTGGTCTCAAATCTCTGACCTCAAGTGATCCACCTGCCTCGGCCTCCAAAAGTGCTGGGATTACAGGTGTGAGCCGCCACACCTGGCCAGGTTTGATAATTTGCTGAAAAGACCCATGGAACTCAGTGAAAGCTGTTATACTCACAGTTACAATTTGTTACAGGAAAAGATTAAAATCAGTCAAGGGAAGAAGGAAATAGGCAGAGTATGGGAAAGTGCCAAACTTGCAGCTTCTAATTACCCTATCGCTGTGGAGTCATGGATAGCAATCCTGGCAACACTGTGTGACGATGCATACAGAGTACTGCCAACCAGTGAAGCTCAGCACAGCCTCAGTGTCCAAAGTTTTTACTGGGGTTCCATCAAATAGGCCTGATTGCCCACGTGACTGAGCTCAGTTTCCAGTGCCTTAGGAAGCTGAGCTGATGCTTGCTGCATGACTCAAAGCCCCTACCCTAAATCACATTGTTACTGTCTGGGCAGCCAAAGACTCCCTGGCAAACAAATAAACTCCTATTAGCCATGACACTCAAAGGCCTTAAAAATTACCACCCTGAAACTGAAGTTAAAGGTTAGGCCTCTCATTTGGCAAGGTTAAATTCTTTTTTTTTTTTTTTTTTTGAGACGGAGTCTCGCTCTGTGGCCCAGGCTGGAGTGCAGTGGCGCAATCTTGGCTCACTGCAAGCTCTACTTCCCGGGTTCACGCCATTCTCCTGCCTCAGCCTCCCATGTAGCTGGGACTACAGGCGCCCGCCACCGCACCCAGCTAATTTTTTGTATTTTTAGTAGAGACAGGGCTTCACCGTGTTAGCCAGGATGGTCTCAATCTCCTGACCTCGTGATCCGCCCGTCTCGGCCTCCCAAAGTCCTGGGATTACAGGCGTGAGCCACCGCGCCCGGCAGCAAGGTTAAATTCTTTACCACACAATACTAATATATCACTTAACTAAAAAATCAAGTTTCATTTCCTCCATGAAATACCTTGACTACTGTGTAGACTGTGTCTATTTCTGTTTTTTATGCATTCCCATTCTACTTAACATCTGTAATATGTGAGCAGACACGTCCTCTGATATGATCTAGTAATTTGGTACCTAATTCGAAGTTGTTTTACATGAAACTTCTTTCTCCATTTGGTTCATCATTTCCCCAAAAGAAGGTCCTCTCTTTTGCCTTTCCTTACTGCAGCTTGTAACAGAGGCCAGGTATTCAGTAGTTATCTTATTGACTGTCATACCGTGCAAGGAAAATATCTTTCTTATCCATTTAGAAATCATTTACTACTAAGTTCTTTTTAGGTGTACCTGCCAGCATTGTATCCCCTAACTTCAGATAACAGTGTGTAAATGTATACTCAGAAGATTTTAGAGAAGATCGTCAATAAAATATTGCCCTCAAAAATGTGAGTTTTAGTTGGGAAAGCAATATTATATTATCAAATCAAGGACTTTACATAGAATGATCATGTTAAAATCCCAGGTTGTTGGAAAATATCTTGAAGTGAATGTTCCAGACCATAATTTTATTACAATTTCAGACAGACGGGATACTGAAAGGTAGAAAAACTATGTGAAAGCTTAGCCGGGAGCAGTTGCTCATGCCTAGAATCTCAGCATTTTAGGAGGCCAAGACGGTGGATCACTCGAGGTCAGGGGTTCGAGACCAGCCAGGCCAACACAGTGAAACCCCATCTCCACTAGAAATTACAAAAAATATTAGCCAGATGTGGTGGCACACACCCATAGTCCCAGCTACTCAGGAGGCCAAGGCATAAGAATCGCTTGAACCTGGGAGACTAAGGTTGCAGTGAGCTGGGATTGTGCCACTGCATTCCAGCCTGGGTGACAGAGTGAGACTCTGTCTCCAAAAAAAAAAAGGGTGGGGATCAGGTGCAGTGGCTCACACCTGTAATCCCAGCATTTTGGGAGGCCGAGGCAGGTGGATCACGAGGTCAGGAGTTCGAGACCAGCCTGGCCAACATAATGAAACCCTGTCTCTACTAAAAATACAAAAATTAGCCAGGTGTGGTGGCACATGCCTGTAATCCCAGCTACTCATGAGGCTGAGGCAGGAGAATCACTTGAACCAGAGAGGTGGAGGTTGCAGTGAGCTGAGACCATGCTGTTGCACTCCAGCCTGAGTGACTGAGTGAGACTTTGTCTCCAATAAAAGGAAAGACTATGTGAAAACTTTAAGACAAATTGGATAGTAGCATATACTTGGAGGTATATGCTTAGGGAGGCAATGTAACTCCAATTACCAATACAGATTAGTTTTACATGTCCTAGAACTGCGCAGAAGTGGAATTGTATGATATGTATTCTTTTTCGTAAAGCTTACACACTGCAAAATATTTGAGATTCATTCCTGTTGTCATTGTGTATCAGCATTGTTTCAGCATTGTTTCTTATTGTTTCTTCTTATTGCTGTGGTAGTATTCGATTGTATAATACATGACACAGTTTTACCTGTTCATCTTTTGATGGATACTGTTCCCAGTATGGGACTATTATAAATAACAATGTAAATCATAGGTAAGATGAATCCACCTTTAAATTGCCCTCCCAAATATGGATGGTAGTAAGGCAACTATAGTTAGATATACATTAATTTTTTAAAAATGATTAAGATTAATCAGTGCTCTGCACATACATCGAAGGATCCAGCCCTTTACAACTCCAACAGGGAATTGCAGAGTTAAGGTGACTGTATTGGGAGGAAAACTCAAACCTAGCTTTCCCTAAAGCTGAAAAAAGTAATTTGGCAAATTGAAAGAATGAAGTTAGAATTGTTGGTCAGGAGAATTTCATTATTGACCATCTCTGGCAGAATAAATTGATGGTAACAGCAATCAGAATACTATAGTCTCCGGGCACTGTGGCTCACGCCTATAATCCCAGAACTTTTGGAAGATCACTTGAGGCCAGGAGTTCAAGTCCAGCCAGGGCAACACAGGAAGACCCCATCTGTAAAAAAAAAAAAAAAAAATTAGCTGGATATGGTGGCACACATCTCTAGCCCCAGACACTTGGGAGGCTGAGGTGGGAGGATTGCTTGAGCCCAGGAGGCCAAGGCTGCAGTGAGCCAGAATCACACCACTGTATTCCAGCTTGGGGGACAGAGCGAGACTCTTTCTCAAAAAAAAAAAAAAAAATGAATTTAAATACATATATATATATGTAAAATATGTATACACAACAGTGATTATATTCATGTTGGAATTATATTTTGTCTGTTGGTGTATTTGATAATTCCTCATGGGAATATGTTTTCCAGATTCTCTGCTTTCAAGAGAAAATAAATTGCAGTTACATGGACATCTAGGGCCTAGACTATAGACTAATGTTTCTGTAAACACTAGGAAATGAGCTGAGAAAGTTCATTTACCATTCATGGGCTCAATGCAAGTGAAGAAGAAAGAATTGGAAGCACTTATAACACTTAGTCATGAGGGGATAAATAATGTATAGCTTTTTGTCTCTTCCTAAATCATTTTCTGTCGCATTGCCTATTGTTCAGCACCCTTGGTAGGCTCACTTCAGCAGCTCTGAATCTTCTATTCCAAGGAGAATACCTCTTTCATCATTCTTTCTCTTCTGCTCACTTATCCTTTTTTTTTGTTCTTTTTTTTTTTTCTTTTTGAGACAGACTTTCGCTCTTGTTGCCCAGGCTGGAGTGCAATGGCACGATCTCGGCTCACCGCAACCTCTGCCTCCCGGGTTCAAGCAATTCTCCTGCCTCAGCCTCCCGAGTAGCTGGGATTACAGGCGTGCGCCACCATGCCCAGCTAATTTTGAATTTTTAGTAGAGACAGGGTTTCTCCATGTTGGCCAGGCTGGTCTCAAACTCCTGACCTCAGGTGATCCACCCACCTTGGCCTCCCGAAGTGTTGGGATTACAGGCATGAGCCACTGAGCCTGGCCATCCTTGTGTTTCTTATACCTTCTCAGTGCAGCTTATATTTATTTATTTATTTATTTATTTATTTAAATTTTTTTTTTTTTTGAGACGAAGTCTCGCTCTGTCGCCCAGGCTGGAGTGCAGTGGCACAATCTCCGCTCACTGCAAGCTCCGCCTTCCAGGTTTACGCCATTCTCCTGCCTCAGCCTCCCGAGTAGCTGGGACTAGAGGCGCCCGCCACCGCGCCCGGCTAATTTTTTGTACTTTTTAGTAGAGACGGGGTTTCACAGGGTTAGCCAGGATGGTCCGATCTCCTGACCTAGTGATCCGCCCGTCTCGGCCTCCCAAAATGCTGGGATTACAGGCTTGAGCCACCGCGCCCGGCGCAGCTTATATTTATAACATGCCAAAGATATGAGTGTTTTTTACTTATGCCAGTTTTTCTTCATTTTAACAGAGTAGCAAGATTTGTATTTGTGTTTATACATTTTCGCTACCAAGAGGTAATTTATTCTGGCCATTTTGTAGATCAGAGTAGTGAGATAGTCTCACCATAGTTTGTCTGGATGTATACCCAATCCGTAGCATTTATGTGAAGACTCACAGTGTTAATTGTATTCTTTTCTAGAAGAAGATGGGAAAACTGAAGATGTCTTAGTGAAGTTCAAAGAATACCAAGACAGGCATTCTAGATCCCTCATATTCATCAATCACAAAAAACTAATTAAGGAGAGAAGTAATATTTATGGTAAAGCACTTACTCTAGGCAAGAACCGTATTTCAAAAACCATACTATGTGAATATAAACCTGATGGAAAAGTTTTGAAAAATATTTCAGAACTAGTCATTAGAAATATAAGCCCCATAAAAGAGAAGTTTGGGGACAGTACTGGATGGGAGAAATCACTCCTCAGTACGAAGCATGAGAAAATTCATCCTGCAGTGAATCTCCAGAAACAAACAGAAAGAGTTCTCAGTGGTAAACAGGAACTTATTCAGCATCAGAAGGTTCAAGCTCCAGAGCCACCGTTTGACCATAATGAATGTGAAAAATCCTTCCTGATGAAAGGAATGCTATTTACACATACTAGAGCTCACAGAGGAGAAAGAACCTTTGACTACAATAAAGATGGAATTGCCTTCATAGAAAAGTCAAGCCTCAGTGTCCATCCAAGTAATCTTATGGAAAAGAAGCCCTCTGCCTACAACAAATATGGGAAATTCCTCTGCAGAAAGTCTGTCTTTATTATGCCTCAGAGACCACAAACAGAAGAGAAACCCTTTCACTGTCCTTACTGTGGGAATAACTTTAGAAGGAAATCATACCTCATTGAACATCAGCGAATTCACACCGGTGAAAAACCTTATGTTTGCAATCAATGTGGAAAGGCCTTCCGTCAGAAGACAGCCCTCACCCTTCATGAGAAAACACATATAGAGGGGAAACCCTTTATTTGTATCGATTGTGGGAAGTCCTTCCGCCAGAAGGCCACCCTTACTAGACATCACAAAACACATACGGGGGAGAAAGCCTATGAATGTCCTCAGTGTGGAAGTGCCTTTAGGAAGAAGTCATACCTCATTGATCACCAGAGAACTCACACAGGAGAGAAACCATATCAGTGTAATGAGTGTGGGAAGGCATTTATCCAGAAGACAACCCTCACTGTGCATCAGAGAACTCACACAGGAGAGAAACCCTATATTTGCAATGAATGTGGGAAGTCCTTCTGCCAAAAGACAACCCTCACTCTCCACCAGAGAATTCACACAGGGGAGAAACCCTATATTTGTAATGAATGTGGGAAGTCCTTCCGCCAGAAGGCAATCCTCACTGTTCATCACAGAATACACACAGGAGAGAAATCCAATGGGTGTCCTCAGTGTGGGAAAGCCTTTAGTAGGAAATCAAACCTCATTCGCCATCAGAAAACTCACACAGGAGAGAAACCATATGAATGTAAACAGTGTGGGAAGTTCTTCAGTTGTAAGTCAAACCTCATTGTCCATCAGAAAACTCACAAGGTAGAAACCATGGGAATTCAGTAAGTAATGCGGCTTTTTTTGGTAAAAAAATGTTAAGTCATAGTAAACCCTGTAGATGATGTTGCTTGCAAGCATAATAATATCCAACAGTTTAAGGTACTATACCACATGGTAACCTACTATTTGCCAGCCTGTAAAACACACACACACACACACACACACACAAATATTATTAGACAAATTACATGACAAAAATCATTAAAAAGTCCAAATTTTTTTCTTACTAGCTTCAGCAGACAAAAACTTCCTCTGTCAAGGTGTTATAAACATTTTAAATCACATTTTCCATTTCAATACATATCCTTTTGTTAATCAGTAATAACTAGTTGGCCAACTGACTGCGGTCCATGGACTACACAGTGAGTAGAGAGGTTCTTTAAAAGAAGGAGGTATAAACTGTATTTCTCATTGCAAATCCAAAATAAAAATTAGTTGTTACCTCCTCACAGTTGACCACGATTCTGACTTTTAACATTACAAATTAGTTTTTACATATTATAAACCTTTCTATCAATTGGATTATCATGCATTCTTTCATGTACGGCTTATTACATTCATCATGTCCCTGAGTCTAATCATTAGTGCATGTGGCAGAAGTTTATTTATTTTTATCCAGTATAGAATTCTATTATATGATTATATCACAATTTATCCATTCTCCTGTTGATGAACTTTTACATTGTTTACAGCTTAGGGTCATAATAAATCATGCTTCTGAGAGCATACTTGTCTTGGTGTACATACATGTATTTCTCTTGTGTATATACTTAGGAATGGAATCGCTGGGTCTTAGTGCATATGTGTATTCAGTCAGATACTGGCAGACGATTCAGAACTTTCACCACGTGAGATAATTGACACTGAAGGGAAACAGCTATAAATTTTATCAATATGGTGCTGGTTCAAACCAGAGAATTCTTGCTACAGGGAAACTTGATCAGTGTTATTGTGAAAACTGGGAATGTGAATGAACGTAATATATGTAGAAGGACATTTAGCCACAGCCCAAATCTTGCAGGCAAATGTCATAAATGTGAGATTACTGTTAGCCACAGTTAATGCCTTATTTGAAAGCCAAAAGTCTACTAGAGAAGGAGAGGCATCCAGCATTTCCCTTTTTCACCATCAGAGAATTCCAACTAGAGAAAAGTCCTGTGAGTGTGTTGAAGTTGGAGCATGGGGAGGAATATAGTCTTTACCTACGGTCTGTATCTTACTGGTCAAGTACAAATGATGAATATGGAAAAGCTTATAGCCATCGTTCATATATTACGCTACGCCAGGGAATTCACATAGGATGAGAACTTTTCAAATGAAATGATTGTAAGAATGACTTTAACTGTTGCTCATTTCTTTTACACCATCAAAGAATTAATACTAAAGAAAGGAAGATTAAAAGGAAACAAATGGTGCTTGGGACTTTGTTTTTTTTTTTTTTTTTTTTTTTTTTTGAGAGAGTCTCTTTCTGTCACCCAGGCTGGAGTGCAGTGGCATGATCTCAGCTCACTGCAGCCTCTGCCTCCCAGGTGCCAGTGATTCTCCTGCCTCAGCCTCCTGGGTAGCTGAGATTATAGGCAAGCACCACACGCATGGCTAATTTTTGTATTTTTAGTGGAGACAGGGTTTCATCATGTTGGCCAGGCTGATCTTGAACTCCTGACCTCAGGTGATCTGCCCGCCTCGGCCTCCCAAAGTGCTAGGATTACAGGGACTTTTAACTCTGGGGAGAGCTCTCTTCCATGACAGAAGTCTAGCCATACTGAGACTATAATGCTAGGAAGTCTATGTGTAGGCACCCAGGTCAACAGCCACAGCTGAGCTCCCAGCCATCAGCTAGCATCAGCTGCCAACCACGTAAGTGAAGCCTCTTGGACATCCAGTCAAACCTTCAGATGACTGTGGACCCTGCTGATACCCAACTGGTACCACAAATGAGACCTCAAGCAAGAACTGCCCAGCTGAGGGCTTCCCACATTCCCGGCCAACAAAATGGTCAGGCTTTTAAACTAAAAACAGTTTTATTTTTTATTTAATAAAAAAGTTTTTATTTAACTTGATTGTTTTATTAAAAGGGAAAAGTAATTTTTTAGTATCTATTAACATATAATAAAAATAAAGGTATAAGGCTGGGCTTGGTGGCTCATGCCTGTAACCCCAGCACTTTCGAAGGTGTTAGGAGGATCACTTGAGCCCAGGAGTTTGAGACCAGCCTGGGAAACATGCCAAAACCCCATCTCTGCAAAAAATTAGCCAGGCATGGTGGCACATTCCTGTAGTCCCAGCTACTGGGGAGGCTGAGTGGGGGGATCACTTGAGCCCGGGAGGCAGTGGTTGCAGTGAGCCAGGATAGTGCTACTGCACTCCAGCCTGGGTGACAGAGTGAGGCCCTATCTCAAAAATAAATAAATAAATAAATAAATAAATAAAGGTATAAATATTTGGATTCTGCAGTCAATGAGCAAAGATATGGTGGTTACTAATAGGTGATTTTGGCATGAAGAAAAACTGACCATAAAATACAGTTGAAGATTTGGCTGCATTTTTGGCTTGTAATTACATACCTTAATAACAACTCAATTGAGGGGTCCATATATGTTCTTTCTCATTTTCTGGCAGTAAATCATATTCATCATATACGTCCCAATTTTGCACACACAAAAAATGAAAATAGCCCCCAAAGAAAGGCTGTGGATAATGTGATCCATCCTCAAAAGACCCTGTGCTGTCATTTCTCAACAAAGGCGCAGAGAGAAATCAAGGTATGGAATCTAATGAATGTCTGTGAAGGAGGTACTTTTGAATGCTTTAAAGAAAGTCTAAATGAAGTTGTGTTTTCTTTCTTTCTTTCTTTCTTTTTTTTTTTTTTTTGAGACAGGGTTTCACTTTTGTTTCCCAGACTGGCGTGCAATGGTGCAATTTCGGCCCATTGCAACCTCTGCCTCAAGCGATTCTTCTGTTTCAGCCTCCCAAGTAGCTGGAATTACAGGCGCCCACCACCACGCCCAGCTAATAGAGAGGTTTCATCATGTTGGCCAGGCTGGTCTCCAAAGCCTGACCTCAGGTGATCCCCCCGCCTCGGCCTCCCAAAGTGCTGAGATTACAGGTGTGAGCCACTGTGCCCGGCTAAAGTTGTGTTTTCTAAAGCTATTTACATATAAGCTGCTGCTCCTTAGGAAAATTTGGTCCTGTGGTTTATATTTTGGCATGAAACAACATGGGGCTATATTCCAGAACCCTGCTTGAAGATTTCTTTTGAAGAAGTCAGAAATTTTCTTTGCCTTTTTTTTTTTTTTTTGAGACAGGTTCTCAGTCTGTCACCTAGGCTGGAGTACAGTGGTGCCATTATAGCTCACTGCAGACTTGAATTCCTGGACTCAAGCAATTCTCCTGCCTCAGCCTCTCAAGTAGCTAAGACTATAGGCATACACCATCCCACTCAGTTAACGTTTTTATTTTTTATACATATGGGGTCTCGCTGTGTTGCCCAGGCTGGTATCAAACTCCTGGCCTCAAGCAATCCTCCCTCTTCAGCCTCCTAAAGTGCCGGGGTTACAGGTGTGAGCCACTTCACTCACTTTAGAGATTTTCACTTTATGAATTGATAAATACAGCATTGCCTCACTTAATAGGGATACATTCTGAGAAATACATCATTAGGCACTGTCATGATTTTGCAAGCATCACAGAGTGCTGATACAAACCGATATGGTACAGCCTTCTAAACACCTAGGCTATATGGTAGAGCCTATTGCTTCTAGGCTACAAATCTGTACTGCATGTTACTGTGCTGAATACTATAGGCAATTGTAACACAATGGTAATTATTTGTATATTTAAACCAGAAAAGGTACAGTAAAAATATGGTACTATAATTGTTTTTTCTTTTTTTTGAGACAGAGTCTCACTCTGTCGCCCAGGCTGGTGTGTAATGGTGCGATCTCGGCTCACTGCAACCTCCGCCTCCCCGGTTCAAGTGATTCTCCTGCCTCAGCCTCCCGAGTGGCTGGGAGTACAGGTGCAAGCCACCAAGCCTGGCTAATTTTTGTATTTTTAGTAGAGATGGGGTTTCACCATGTTGGCCAGGATGGTCTCAATCTCCTGACCTCGTGATCCACCCGCCTTGGCCTTCCAAAGTGCTGGGATTACAGGCGTGAGCCACCACACCTGGCCGGTACTATAATCTTATGAGACCACCATTGTATATGCAGTCTATCATGAACCAAAATTTCATGTGCCGCGTGAGTATTTTTCATCTAAGTTATCTATTGCTCAATGAAGTTTGGGCAGCTCTAAGGAGCAAACATGTTTATAGAATCTAAGTCAACTTGGCCTAAATATATATGACAAAATAGGAGTGATTTTGCAAATTCATATTTTGTAGACCTAACTGCAAGGTCATAAGACATATGCAAAATGATTTCATCAGTTCAGAGGACTAACAAGACTCCACAGAGCACACCCAGGAAATGTTTTTGGTTAGAAGCAAAGGATGTGGCTCAGCAAAAGAAAGGGAAGGTAAGCACTGGGGCTCAGAATCATCTAGCTGCACGCTTCTCAGTGGTTTTATTCATGTACAGACTGCACACTGTCTCTGAACTGAACCACTAAGATCTGTATGAAACTTGATTTGGGGAGAGCTGATGGCAGGACGTCTCAACATGGGTTTTTTTGTTGTCATTGTTTTGTTTTTTTGAGACAGAGTCTTGCTCTGTCGCCCAGGCTGGAGTGCAGTGGTGCGATCTCAGCGCACAGCAACCTCTGCCTCCCAGGTTCAAGCAATTCTCCTGCCACAGCCTCCCAGGTAGCTGGGATTATAGGCATGTGCCATCACGACCAGCTAGTTTTTGTGTTTTTAGTGGAGATGGGGTTTCTCCATGTTGGCCAGGCTGATCTCGAACTCATGACCTCAGGTAATCCACCCAACTCAGCCTCCCAAAGTGCTGGGATTACAGGCGTGAGCCATCGTGCCCAGCCACTGCATAGGTTTTTTATTCCTCTCTGTTCACTGGTTACATAGTCATGCCAGGCTATCTAACTGGTTATGTGAGTTAAAAAAAGTTAAAAAGCCATCATTAACAAATTGGCTGTGGGAGTCTCCCAGGGAATATAAGACTTTAACCGGCCAGGCGCGGTGGCTCACGCCTGTAATCCCAGCACTTTGGGAGGCCGAGGCGTGCGGATCACAAGGTCAGGAGATCGAGACCATCCTGGCTAACACGGTGAAACCCCGTCTCTACTAAAAATGCAAAAAATTAGCCAGACGTGGCGGCGGGCACCTCTAGTCCCAGCTACTCGGGAGGCTGAGGCAGGAGAATGGCATGAACCCAGGAGGCGGAGCTTGCAGTGAACCGAGGTCACGCCACTGTACTCCAGCCTGGGCAACTGAGCGAGACTCCATCTCAAAAAAAAAAAAAAAAAAAAAGGACTTTAACCAGTACCTCATGTAGCTCACCAGCTTTATCCCAACCAAGAGTCAGAGCCAGACATCCAGGCATCATGGAGATAATGTTAGAGCTTTGCAGTCTGACTGTAAATCAGCTCCATCCTACAAACATGGTTCCTATAACTGTTGCGTATTTCCTGATAATGTATGTGAACAAGCATATCTCCTCACCCTCTGTGTCCCCAGTATCAGATAGTGCACAGTACATCTCAAATGTGATCATTTCTTGCCAGCTAATGCTTTAATTTCTCCACTCAGTTTCTGGTCTAGCAGTATAACCAG